TAAATGGCGTGACTTGCCATAGACAAGTCTATAAGGAAACACACCTAGAGAAGTTTTATAAACTATTATATATGCCCACAAAGCATCATCCAAATGTTTAGACCAGTCCTTCCTTGAGGGGTTCATAACATTTTCCAAAATCCTTTTTACCTCTCTATTGAAAATTTCAGCTTGTCCACTACATTGTGGATGGTAGGTTGTAGAAACTTTATGCTTGACTCCATATTTTGCCATCAAATTTTCAAATAACTTATTGCAAAAATGGGTTCCCTTACCACTAATGATTTCTCTAGGGGTTCCATGTCTAGAAAAATGTTTTTAACCAAAAATTTAGTCACCACCCTAACATCATTAGTTGGAGTTGTTATTGTCTCTATCCACTTAGAGATATAGTCTACAACCTCCGATATGTACAGATTTCTAAAAGATTGAGGGAATGGTCCCATGAAGTCAATGCTCCACACATCAAAAAGTTTTATTTCAAGGATGTTAGTGAGAGGCATTTCTTGCCTCATGGAGACATTCCCTACTCTTTTACATCTATCACAACTCTTTACTAGTTTATGAGCATCTTTAAAAAGAGAGGATCATATATAACTTGATTGAAGAACTTTGGCAACAGTTCTGCTTCCTACAAAATGTCCTCCACAAGGAGCCTCGTGACTGGCAGACAATGTTCTAGTTCTGGTGTAGGACATTGTTGTAATATCTCTCATGCGAGAAGGTTGTTTTGGTTCTGAGTTAAACCAATAAAAAAACTCATTTTTGGTTATTGAGTTGAATTTGGTGAAATCTCTGTTTGATTTCTGATATCTGCTTAATAAAACCTCGTGTTTGGTTCGAGAGCTTAGTCTGGTGTTAAAAGCACTCATTTGGTTCGTGAGCTTAGTCTGGTGTTAAAAGCTCTTGTTTGTTTTGATATTGTCTCAATGTTAAAATTTCATGTTTGGTTGGGAGGTCTTCATAGTTAAAACTCCAAATTAGGTTTGGAGGATAACCATTGTAGAACTCGAGTCGTTTGTAAGGAGGTTCCTAGGCTATATATATATATATATATATATATATATATATATATATATATATATATATATATATATATATATATATATATATATATATATATATATATATATATATATATATATATATATATATATATATATATATATATATATATATATATATATATATATATATATATATATATATATATATATATATATATATATATATATATATATATATATATATATATATATATATATATATTATATATATATATATATATATATATATATATATATATATATATATATATATATATATATATATATATATATATATATATATATATATATATATATATATATATATATATATATATATATATATATATATATATATATATATATATATATATATATATATTATATATATATATATATATATATATATATATATATATATATATATATATATATATATATATATATATATATATATATTATAATATATATATATATATATATATATATATATATATATAATATATATATATATATATATATATATATATATATATATATATATATATATATATATATATATATATATATATATATATATATATATATATATATATATATATATATATATATATATATATATATATATATATATATATATATATATATATATATATATATATATATATATATATATATATATATATATATATATATATATATATATATATATATATATATATATATATATATATATATATATATATATATATATATATATATATATATATATATATATATATATATATATATATATATATATATATATATATATATATATATATATATATATATATATATATATATATAAACTCACATCATTATGGAAACTCAAAAGAAGAAATTCATGGGAAAAAATAGCTCAAGTGGTTGGATCACCTCTAAAAATCTCTAGTGCATCCTTTTCTTCCATTACCTCTTTACGTTTCAGTCATTTATTTTTATTTTTAAACAATCTCATTTATTAGATGAAAAGGAGAGAGTACAAATATAGAGAAAAAAAATGTGTTAGGGCATTTCTCTTATACAAATTAACAACACTAATAATTAAGTCAAACAAGCTATGGAGTTCAAAAAACTTTGAGAATTTAGAAACCAATAGGAAGTTACCAATCATAACCCTTAATCCAATCAACCAAACAAAGTTCTTTCGCATGAGAAAAATGAGTTTTGGAACCCCAATCTTTAAATCTATCCAGTTCTGCATCATATCTTTACTTTATCGCTAGCTTTATCACGCTCGATTCGATTATTCAGGTTCACAGTATTGAATAAACTCACAACTTGTGGAAGAAACAATTGTTGACTGGAATGAGGAGTTTGATTTGCCACATCCCAAGCTAGATTCTTACTCAAAGACACAACTCCTTCAAACAAGTTTCTTTGAGGCATTTCATCAAATACCTTGAGAACAAACTTAAGATAACCTAAACTTAATACCAACACACCCAACAAAACAAAACAAGAACAATAATAAAAACTATTACATGAACACACACACACACATAAACTCAATACCTCCTTATCTTCCGGTGGTGGCGGCTCCGGTGTGGGTTAATTTCCATGTCCGTACCACTCTGGACCATCGGTTGGGGGAGGTGATTTTGGAGTTACAAGCGATTGATGGTTGATGGCAGAGATGAGGATGCGCTTGATGAAGTTTGGAGGAAGAAATATGTGTGGATCTAACATGGATGAGAGTTTTAAAGGAATGAAAAGAGAGGAGGATAAACTTACAGTGGGAAGGATCCTCCATTAAAAGGGAGATGGCCACCATAATGGTGGTTAATAGCTCCGATGAGGGAGGAGGAGCCCCTATAAGAGGGGAGGCGACACCCACCAAAAAAAGGAAACCCTAAATTTAGAGAGAGGGGAGAACTTCTCTCTATAAACATTCTAATCACTTACTTCAATCATTTATTTACTTTCATTCTATTTCATTATTTTCACTCTAATATTCCTTATTCCCCTACTTATTCCCTATTTGTTTTAAAAACTTGTTTTAAATATAATTTCATCAACAATAAAAATTAAACATTGTTTTTCAAACATACACAATTCACACCCCTTTATTGTTTGAACTCACTTATACAACATTGGAGCCTATTTGAATTACTTATTTGCGTATATCTTATGTTAAAAATTTTGTAATACTATTTAAAGAAGATATTAAAACAACTTGTAACATTATTTATTAATTTTTTAAACTTATATTTATAAGATCTCAAAGATAATTTATAAAAACAATTTATAACACTTAAATTTATTTTATCTTTTATAAAAAATAATTTATGCAAACTTTTTCAAAAGTGCTTATTTTGATAAGCACTATAAACTCCAAATAAATTGTTTATAGACGGCCTAAACAACTTATTTTCCCTCGGCTTCTGCTCCCTCCAACCAACTCCAACCAAACAGAGACAATAATCCAGATGAAACATTATCTTAAAAATGACTAAATTGTCTAGTTTTATGAATAGTGTCATGAAATTGACCAATTTCAAATTTCTTCGACAAAAACTAAAATCAGAATCCCAAATAGTAGCTTCACGTCATTGTGTAATTTCCTCACATCTTTCTTCTCATACCTTCAATCTGTACACCAACCATCTACTATTTAATCAAAGGTGCCATTTTTCTTAATTAACTTTCGTTTTTTGCCATTCTTTTATCAAGTAGTTCTTTTTTTTTTTTTTACTTAAATGTGAATGTCAAATTGTCAGAAAGAAAGGGTATTGAAATATGCACAAGAATTATTTATGTTTGGTAGCTTTAAACACTTATGATTAGTAACTCTTTGATTTCTATGAGCTTTCTTCAAGAACGAGTGTAAGGTGTTTGTAAAATTGACTGAACCAAATTATGGAAAAATCAGATCCTTTGTCACAAAGATACCGTTGCTGCTTTTTTGTTTGTTTTAATTCTGTATGAGGCTGAAACTAACATGTGATACATGTTAAATTATCTTCATTGTTTAATTTTCTTTGCTAAATATTATGTGGCTGAGTGGAGAAAAAATGGTAGACCAAATATTCATTAAATATCTGGTAGTGTTTCTAAGTTGAAGTGTGTTGGTTTCTTAACTCATATATTGAATAGCTTTTTTGCATCTTACCATGCTTTGTTTGCAAAATTATTGGTTAAGTAGGTCATTTTGAAGAATTATAGTGTCAAAGTTTAAGTGTTTAACAGCAGGGTGCTATGAAGCACGGACTCTGACACGGACACTCCGGCACCGATTATGTAAAAAATACAAGATACCGACGCCACTACATGTATGATTGTATTTGACTTTCATTATCCATCTATAATTAAAAGAGTTGAAAATATTCTAATTAAACTTAATGTTTTTATTTTTAATTGATAACATTGCTTCAATACATGTTTAAGCCTTTTAGATATGTGTGAGATTTGTCTAAAAAATATATATAAGGCTTCAACAAAAACTTTTCTATATTGTCAAACACATGTTGTATGAGTGTTATACGGGTGTCACACACCGGTTCAAAGAGTGTCGAAGCAAAGAAAAAAATCTTTTTTTTGGAGACATTTTTCTGACTTTTCCGATACTTTCAGACTTTCAGTGATTCATATGTGATTCATAGGTAGGGTGAGAACTTTAAGCATAGTTATGTATTCTAACCACACATGATTGTGTTGGTAAAATTGTTAGTACAATAAGACTTTAAATTGATATAGTTTTAATAAGATTGCGTATTTTGTCATTTTTTGTAGATGTAATCTTTGTACCATTTAAGACTTTACATTACCAGGTTGGTATTTATTTTGAAAATAAACACAATAAATTGGAAATGGTTTACAGTTTCAGGTGACCTTTGTTTCTGGCTATCAACGCAAGAGTTTAATTTATCTTTAAGCCCTTCGTAGACTCAGTACAGAAAAAAAGCAAGAAAGATGGAATCAACAAGTTCTAGAGTCAATGTTCAAAGCTCTAGACAATCCTCAAAGCAGCTTCTGTTTGACCGACGCTATGGATGGGTGTAATCCCTCTCTTACTCTCTTTCTGTCATATATATTAATCTTGTTGCCACTATATTTGATAAATAGTATTATGGTGATTCACTATTGCTTACTTTCTAACAGAATTGATGAATGGAAACATCCAGCAGAGGAAGCACTTGATGGTGGCCGAGGAATGTAAGATATTTCCCTGTTCTTTTAAATTTTTTTATCTAGTTTCTTAATTAACAAGACTATGTTACTTAGAAGAAAAAAAAAAGAAGCTTTATCACATATTTTTAAGCCATCTGCAGTTCAGTGGGTAGACTGTTTCTTAAAGAAATGATAAGAATATGAATTATGCTTCTCTTTCTCTGGCATTTCTGTGGCATAACCTGAACCTGCTAAACAACAAATTTTCTTTTGAACTTACTAATTGTTTTACTTTCTTTATCCTTGTGAAAGGTTTTGCATACTCCCACTTGCCAAAAGTTTGGTGCAGATGACCTCACAATCGGTATGATGAATTTTATCATTGTTAGATGTGTTACTTTGATTTTCACTGTTTACTCTCTTTACTAATTTTCTCCATAATTTTTTTGTAGCAATCAATTTATTGCATACTGTGTTCTTGGGATGCCCATTTTGATTTGTACTTCTTATAGCTTGTATATTTACATCTTTCCCTTACAGTGATAAGTTTTTATAAGTAATCTCGGATATTCTTAATGGGTTTTCAGATCTCTACCCTGTTTTAAAAGACACGACTAACATGACATTTTTTAAATATAAATAACGACTGTAAGAGTGCCTATTAGTTGGTCGCAGGAAGTCATGGTTTATCGACTCTATTTGTGGTGTGATTAGGTTATCTATATGTCTTGGAGTATCCATGTGCTCCTTTATAAAAGAAGGTTTTGATCTCAAATCTAAAATCTTTCAGCAGGAGTGTAATTGTAGTTTACAGTGAGTTTGATGGATTCATCATGCAATACCTAGTTTATATGCCTCAACTTTGTGAACACCACATTGTATTATCCTATTATGCAAAACTCTTTAGAATGGGGCTATAAATATTAGAAGTCATTTGCCATGGTCAAGAATTTTTAGAATCAATACATCATTAGAAATTTCGTAATATAACTTAATAACCTTAGGGACCTGACTCCTTTTCGTCTAGAGTTGGTGAAAGTTGAGTACAGTCTATGAAATTGCTTTATTGTGATGAACTGTACATGTTAGAATATGAGAATGCTTCTTCAGTGAAACTAACTATTGACAAGTATTTTACCCTTACAGCACATTGATTTAAGTAGAACTGTTACTCCATCATTTAGCTTACATAACCCACACGTTTCTGCAGATAAATCTTGGAGTTACCTCAGCCATAAAAGCTGCTGAAAACCCACAGACGTTTTCCTTGCAGAGTGCTCTAGACCAGGGTGTTCGTAATTTTGTGACGTCTTTGAAAATCAACAAGTGTAAAGCTTTCATCCTCAACAAAAATCCTTCCCACTTCCATGGTGAGAGCAAAGAATGATGAAAGGCACAGAAATTGCTTCTCGTGAACAGTTTGTGTTTTACTCGTTCAGCAATGCTTAACTTTTTAAGTTATGATAGTAGCCTTGTGATGCATTTGAAAACAACTTAATTAACACTTACTCAATAATCATTTATCCTCAATTATTTATGTACAAGTCATTTATATGGTGAAAGCGAAAATGTGGTTAAGTATATTATGTGGTTAATTTTTTATAATCAAGTTCAAAATGTTTTCGTAGGCTATTTTAGAATGTTTTTTTTGAAACAAGTTTAAAATAATTTATAAATATGTCATAAATTATTCTGAATCTTAAGATTCGTGCTTAATTATAGTAGACAAATTCAAATAAGTTGCACATAAGTCAACTCAAAACCATTCTTATAGGTGATTCGGAGAAAAATATTAGGTTATATGCATGAAATAATGTTATTAAAGAATAAAAATAATAATTATTAGAGTATAAGCAATAGATTAGAATAGTTTAAGTAATGCTGACCTGGCAACATTTAGACTAAATTCAGTTATCAGTCATAACTAACGGTTAGAGTTAGTTATGCTGAGCTGTACTATTTCTGTTATGCTAACTGTCTATATATAGCATACTCATTGTATCAATTCAGTTGAGAATCAATTTAATACAAATCATTTCTCCTTGAATATGCTTCTCTTCCAAAACTCTTTTATGATATCATGAGCTTGTGATTCATCATAACCATGGCTTTTGTCAATGATCCTCCACCATTCTTCACGGACCCTCCAACTCCGGGAAGTAGTACACCATCTTCTTCAACATCCAACGCAACAACTTCAAATCTGAAGAATGTGTTCAAAACGTTTGGGCAACACATCACCATCAAGCTGGACAACAACTTCCTCTCTTGGAAGTCGCAAGTAGAAGGTATAATTCGTATTCACAAGCTTCATTGTCACCTTGTCAATCCTGATATTCCCCCAAGATATCTCTCTACCAATGATCGTGCCTCAGATATGGAAAACCCTGCATATGTGCAGTGGCATCAAGAGGATTCTCTTCTCTTTACTTGGCTCCTCACTACTCTCTCTGATGTCGTTCTTCCTCGTGTTGTGAGGTGTGTTCATGCTCATGAAGTATGGATTGTAATTGATCAATTTCAGAGGACTCAAGTTTATGCTAAGTCTCGTCAATTACGTTTTGAGTTGCACACCATGGAGAATGGTGACAGAACCATTGCTCAGTACCTAGGTCGAATTCAACAAATTGTTGATATTCTTGAATCCATTGGTGATCCAGTCTCTTATTGTGATCATCTTGAGACTATCGTGGATGGATTGCCTCAAGAATACCAAGCCCTAGCTTCCATTATTCAGTACCGTGACCAGCCTTGTGAAATTGTTGTTGTAGAGATGATGCTTCTCTCTCATGAAGCTCGTCTAGAACGATCTACACGTAGAGCTACACACGATGCTCTAACTGTTAATCTGACGCAAGGATCGGTCTCGCAATCTGTGAGGGCAAACCGCCATACACCACACGATTTTGCAGACATTACTTGATATAGGTTTCGATGATGACGAATTACAACCATGGATGAATTGGCAACTGTAAATTCCACCTCTACCAAACAAATGCAACATATTACCTACCGTATTCTTTTACATTTATCTAAAAACTGTTATAGTTAATACAACATGTGTGGATAAAATGTGGTCGTGACAAAATGCATGAAAAATCACAAGAATCTCAGTTTTTGCAGGTTTGCAGGGTATGAGTCGACCATAGGGTCGACGCATACATCAGTGTGTTTTTCCACGGGTCAGCGCATATCTCAGTATGCCTTCTCACATGTCAGCGCATGAAGGTTTGAGTCGACCGCAGGGTCGGCGCATGAAGAATTTACTCTTCAACGGGTCAGCGCACGCCGACTGTATGGTCGACGCATACTGATACATTTTGCAGATTTCCAAAGGTGCAGGCTATGCGTCGACGCACAGACCTGTTGTGGTCGACCGTTCGCGCGGAAATGCTGTTTTAAATGATTCCCACTATTATTTGAAAAGCTGTTATGTCTTTGGTTGGTCTGGTACTATATATACAAGTCCAACTACTTATGTCAAGCAACATTTGATAAAATTGATTCATGTGTTCAAAGAATAAGAAAGAGTGAAATAGGTGTCCAAGATTCATCATCTTCATCTTCAACATCTCACAACACATCAATTACACACAACCATTTTTGAAGTGCCTTGTGAGTGATTAAAGGTGATAAGGTTCGAAGCTTAGATTGGGTAATCTGGTTCGGGTTGAAGCTTGCGACAGGTTCTTTCTTGAATAAAATCGTTAGGGTTTTATCCTCCAAGATTGGTTTGATTTTTGGGGGTTTTTGGACGAGATTCTTCATTAAGGGTCAGCTGAGCGAAGGTGATTGTGAAGAGGAAGTCTTCAACAGTCTAGTAGCGGATTCAGTGATATTGAGGGGAAGATCTCGGGTTCGATTCGTTGTAGTTGAGATCAGCTGGGCCGAAGGTTTGAAGAACTGAGGGTTATTCAATAAGGTGGCTAGAATCGAAGGTCTATCAACAACGATCGGAGGACTTGATTCATCTTGAATCAAGGGGCAAGGAGTGGAAGCAACATTCAACGCTTGAGAACTCTGTTGTATTTTTGCTGTTCAATCCTTGTATAAACTGTTACATTCAACAGGTGATATCTATAAAATCTATCTCAATTCTAGTTTTAGAATTGAGGGCAGACGTACCCCGAAGCGAGGACGACGGGGGAACTGCCTCACCAAATATTTGTCTTCTCTATTTTTCAGCATTTTCGTTTTAGCTTAAAAATAAGTGATTTTCGTATAAGCACTATTGTCAAACTGTGATATCAATTGAGTAAGAGGTTGAAACTGTGTTTGTTGAATCCAAAGTACAATAAGACATTGTACTAGGCTAGTTGGAATCACTTACTCAACATAAATATCACTTGGAGTGTTTTTGCACACCAAGTGTTCGACAAATTGCCTAAACCAAAATTATCTTATTTGTGTATCTAGTTTTGGTTTGCTCTTTAAATCATTGGAACTAGGAATCCTAACAAGTGAAGTAGATAATTGATAAGTGTGATTAGTGTTGTGATTCTCTTTTCCATATTGTCATTAATCCATAGGCTTAACGCATATCCGGTTTTTCAATAACCGTTCGTTTTAGACTATATTTTCCTCGGCCGCTTCCGCACTTAAAACATATTTTCAAAACCAATTTTTAAATTGGTAGCGCCGACTCAAATTTTTAATTGGGATCTATTCAACCCCCCCTTCTAGATCCGTGCCATAGCCTAACAAGTGGTATCAGGAGCTCCGGTTACTCGGTGCTTCAAATACAACGTAAATAGAAAATAGCTAACGAACCTAAAGGGGCTTATAATAGAGCTCCCGTTTTCAATGGTGAAAATTATAGTTATTGGAAAGACTGTATGTGGGTACACATAAACTCCATAGATAGAAAAATATGGAACGTTATCCTCAATGGTCCAATAGAAATTACCATGACCAATGCGGATAATGTGGTTGTGCCAAAGCCCGAAGCACAATGGACCGATGACGATGAGAAAAAATACAATTATGATTGGAAAGCCAAAAATATCTTAATCTCCTCATTAGGTATAGATGAATACTATCGTGTATCCCATTGTCCTACTGCTAAGGCCGTGTGGGATTCACTAAAAATCGCCCATGAGGGGACGAACGATGTTAAGTTGGCTAGAATCAACACATTAACACAAGAGTTTGATCTCTTTTTCATGGAGCAAGGGAAAACCATTGCTGACATGCAAAAGAGATTTACTCATCTCATCAATCGTTTACATTCATTAGGTAGGCCTGTTTCCAATGATGTTGCTACTAATATGATCTTGAGATGTCTTAATAGGGAATGGCAGCCGAAAGTGACCGCCATCAAAGAAGCACATGATCTTACCTTATTAGACTTGACAACATTGTTTGGCAAACTACAAGAGCATGAACAGGTACTCTTGAGCCTAGACCAACGCGAAAAGAAAGAAAAGAAGGACAAAACGAAGGTGAGTGAAAATAAATCGATATCTCTTAAGACTTCCTCCTAGAAGTCTCAAGTAAAAGAGCAAAGTGATTATTCCTCAAGCGACGAAGAAGAAGAGGACAAGAGCGAAGATATGGGGCTGTTCGTTAAACGTTACAACTGTTACGTGAGAAAGAACGACATCCAACATTCCGAGAAGAACTTGGTAAACTTCCGGAAACAATCGAGGTACTCCAAAGATGATGACTCAAAAGATAAAAAGACTAGAGGGTCGTGCTACAAGTGTGGGAAGCCCGGTCACTACAAACCGGACTGTCTGATGAACAAAAAGGCAAAGGAATCATCCAAGTCATACAAGAAATCATCAAAACCAAGGAGAGCGTATATAGCTTGGGAAAGCGATAGCGACCCCTCCTCCTCTGATGAAAGCTCTAGTGATGAAGAAGAGTCCGTGAATCTATGCCTTTCCGCACATCAAAAAAATAAGAAAAAGCAGGTACGTCACTCTAAATATGAGAAGTCCTCAAATATGTCGCATTCAGAATTACAAACCGCATTTAATGCTTTACACAATGAAGCAACTGAAGCCTTTAAGAGACTTGCCTCTAATAAAAGAATTTTTACTTACTTAGAGCACAAAGTTAAAGAGTCCGAAAGGAAACTAGAGGACCTTAAGGCTTCCATTGTGGAAAGTAATAAATCGGATTGTGAGGACCATAGAAATCCTTTCGACTTTGGATGTGCTACTTGTCATATTTGGCAAGGTGAAGTTAGAAACCTTAAGGCCAAATTAAACAAGGCACTTGAGCCTAAAATTACATTTGCTATTGATAGAAAGGATTTTAGAAAAAGTATGGTGAACCCATATCAAAAATATGCATATGTAATTGGGGATCAAGAAAGTAAAAGTGATTCTAAAGTCGATTTTGCATGCTTATATTGTCGCAAGAAAGGCCATTCAATTGCTA